GTACAGGGAGTGTTGGGGAAATACAGCATCCGTTGAAACTGGAGGGCTCGGCAAGGGCTGAATGCAGGGGATGTTGGCCATGGCGAGGGACTCAGACATTTCCTGAGGGCACCGGGGAGCCGCAGAAGGCTTTCAGCAGGGGAGGGACATGGTCAGATCTAAGTGGTATATCCAAGTGAGGAAACCAGGAAGCACCAGCAGAGGGGTCCCCAGTGACAGGGGCCCAGGACCCCGGGTCCAGCTCCAAGCCCACTGCTCAGGCCTGCCTCGATTTCCTCTGAAGTGAAATGGACTTTGGAGTGACACGGGGGAGCCATTGGCCCACCCTGCAGCGTCCTTTCTTCAGGCCTGAGCTTGGGGTCTGGTGGGGGTCCTGGCTGTGCTCCTCACCCCTCCCGTCCCCCCTCACAGGGCTTCACCCCCATGACGGTGCCAGACCTTCTCCGAGGAGCTGTGTTTGTGAGTGAGGACTCTCTGTTCCCCACGCCCAGCCGTGTGTCAGGCCCCATTCTGAGGGTTCCAGGTGGAGAGACCAGCCTGTCTCCCCCGAGGAACCTGCCCTGGGGCTGGGTTGAGGGGGTCAAGCCATAACAGGGAGCTCAGGGTGATTCCAGATGCTTTTAGGGGAGGAGCAGGGGTTGTGACTGCAGAATGGTGGCCACCCAGGTTACCTGACCCCTGACCTCTGTGGCCTGGCCTCCTCCCCAGGAAGGCTGTGGGATGACACCAAATGCCAAACCATCCCAAATTTACAACATCGACCCCTCCCGCTTTGAAGACCTCAACCTGGCTGGGACAGCAGAGGTGGGACTTGCAGGTGAGTTCCTACCTCGGGGCAAGAGTGGGGTGAGGACACCTCCAGTGTCCTCAGAGCAGGAGGAGATGGAAAGGTGACAGCCAGGAGCCTCCTGGGGGGTGATGGCTGCACGCCCAGGATACCTCAGCGACCCCAGGGCCTACGTGTACAGTTGCGTAGCTCGTTTACTGCACGGCGGTGCGGCGAGGATCCGGCCACATGGCCTGACTTGAGGTTGCGTCTGCTAGAGGGGACGCCTTTTCTAATTCTCACAAAGGTTTCCTGTGGCTGGCTGGTGGCCTTGGCTGACCCATTCTGTCCTCCTCTCCTCCCAGGCTATTTCATGGACCACTCCGTGGCCTTCAGGGACCTGCCAGTCAGGTGATGCCCAGTCCCTTTAGACCTTGTCCCCACCAGTGACGTTCCCTCTCCTCTCCCTGACCCCACCTACCCTGCTCCCCCCAGGATGGTTTGTTCCAGTACCTGCTACCGGGCGGAAACAGACACGGGGAAGGAGCCGCGGGGGCTGTATCGAGTGCATCACTTCACCAAGGTTGGCATAGCTCCAGCCCGGCGCCCCAGCCCGCCACGCCCAACAGCCCAGCGCCTCCTGACTCCTGCGCCCCCCCGCCCTGCCCCAGGTGGAGATGTTTGGGGTGACAGGCCCTGGGCTGGAGCAGAGCTCGCAGCTGCTGGAGGAGTTCCTGTCCCTTCAGATGGAGATCTTGACAGAGCTGGGCTTGCACTTCCGGTGCGGGGAAGGGCCGGGGGCTGAGGTGGGTGGCAGAGGGTGGGGGTGAGGGAAGAGGGAGGGAAGGGCTGGCTAGGTGCTCCCCCATCTTGAAAATCCTCACCACCTCTTGTCCCTATGCCCCCTTTTGCCTGTGTTACGATTATATATAGGATGTCCGTCTACCTGTCAGTCTATAAAATCCCGTATAGGATCGTAATGGCCACATAAGCTGTGCAGGGCACTCCAGTGTCAAGACCAGGCCCCTTCCCTCCTGTTGCTCCCCATCCCTAGGGTGCTGCCTCGTCTGGGTGGTCCAAGATGGCTCTTCACCCTCCAGGGGGTGAGGGCACACCCCTTCCCTTTAAGGGGGTGACTGGACGTCACAAGCCCCACCTCCTCTCGCACCATGTCAGTCACACGGAGCTTTCAAGAGAAGCTGGGAAGGGTGGACTTTTATCTGGGTGACCCATTACAAAAACCTGAGGGTGCTCCTGTTACAGAAGGAAGAACGGCGATGGTGAACAGCCCAGAGACTCGGCCACCTCTTCCCCTTTGCCACTGTCCTCTCCTTTATCCCTTGCATTTCCCTCTTTTGGCTGCCTCCTCTTCCATCGCCTCCCCTTGCCCCTGCCCCCCTCCTCCACCACCTCTCACCCACTGGCCTTTGCCATGTCTTTCTCCTGGGCTGCAGGGTCCTGGACATGCCCACCCAGGAACTGGGCCTGCCCGCCTACCGCAAGTTTGACATCGAGGCCTGGATGCCGGGCCGAGGCTGCTTTGGCGAGGTGAGCCTTCTGCCCGGCGGGGCGACAGGGTGGGAAAGAGGACCCCACCGACGGCCCAGCCTCAGCCCACCCCACCCCCATGCCCAGGTCACCAGTGCTTCCAACTGCACGGACTTCCAGAGCCGCCGCCTCCACGTCATGGTCCAGACGGAGGCCGGGGAGCTGCAGTTCGCCCACACGGTGAGCCAGACACCCTCGTCCACCCTCCCCAGTGCCCCGGTGCTCCAGGCCCACCACCTCAGCCCCTCCCTGGGCTGGCCGGCAGCTGGGTCTGAGTGTGCCCCTCTCCCAGGTGAACGCCACAGCCTGTGCTGTCCCCCGCCTCCTCATTGCGGTCCTGGAGAGCAATCAGCAAAAGGTGAGGGGGCAGCGGGAGGATCTCACGCAGGGAGGCAGAGACTGCAGGGCTGGCAGGGCAGCGGCCTGAGGCCTGCTCTCTCCCCAGGACGGCTCGGTGCTCGTGCCCCCTGTCCTCCAGCCCTACCTCAGCACCGATCGGATCACGACCCCCACCCACGTGCCTCTCCAGTACATCGGCCCCAACCAGCCCCAGAAGCCCAGGCTCCCGGGCCAGCCTGCCTTGAGCTGAGGACTCATCCTCGTTGGCCAGTAGGGTTGTCACTGTTTCCTGGAGCTTAGGGGGTCGCTGGGCACCTGGGACCTGTTGTCCTGAGCCATCCCAACATTTGCCTTCCTCATGTCAGCTCCCTGCCTGGGCCCCTGGACTCCAGGGTCCACCACTCCTGTGCCCCTACTTCCTCAGGATCAGTCAGTGACCCTGTTGTCGTTGGAGCTCCCAGCCTGCGCTGGGAAGCAGTGGTTCCTCCAAGGGGACTTGGAGGTTCTAGGGATGGGGGAAGGCCTCCATCTCTCCTTCCTTCTTCCCGCCCTCAGTGCTTAAGGGAAAGTCCCCCAATAAATGGTTGGAACAAAGGCCTTTGTGTGTCTGTGAGTTAGGGAGGTGACCTGGCCAACTTGCTAGGGATGCTGGGCTATTGCTCAGAGGTGCTGAATCCTCAGGGGGTCTGTGGCTGCAGGGACCATGCCAGAAGTGTCCAGCATCCCCAGAGCACGTGGAGGGTAGCTTGGGGGCCACTGAGGGAATTGAGAGGATGCCGAGGCCTCTCCCCTGACTCTGGGACAAGTGGCACCTCACGTCCCACCTCCCCCCTCATTCCCCAGCTCCGGGTGGGGTCCAGGAAGCAGCCCAAACTCGGTGAAGCCAGAATTCGCTCCTCCCCTAAGTGCCCCTGTCTCAGTACCTGGAACTGCTCTCCCAGTTCCTCAGGCCGCAGCCCTGAGAGTCATCCTCGACTGTTCTCTCCTCTCCACATCCACATCCCGTCCTTCAGCAAACCCTGGCAGCTCCTCCTTCAAAATATTTCCAGAACCCGCCTTTGCCCTCTCGTCCCTGGCCCCTCCCTGGGCCTGTCCACTGATATCTCCCATTTGGAGAGTCGCGGCAGTCTCTCGGCTGTCTTCCTGCTCCCTGTCCCCCGCACAAAGCCAGAGGGACCCTGTGGACGCCTGCGCTGGGTCACATCCCTCCCTGCTCAGGGCCCTCCTGTGGCTCCATCTCACTCAGGGGAAAGGACAAGCTGTCACCATGGTCCACGGGGCCCCACGTAACTTGCCCCCCACCTTCCTCTTCAACCAGCCTTTTCCCTGTTGTGCTCTGGCCACCCCCCAACCTGCCTTGCTGTTCTTACTCTCAGACTTATTCCCAACTCAGGCCTCTGCACTTGCTAGACTGCTCCCTGGCTACTCTTCCCCTAGATCTTGTGTGATTGCTTGCATTTTGTCACTCAGGCCTTAGCCCAGATGTCACCTCCTCTGAGAGGACTTCCCTGACCAGCCTGGCCAAAGTAAAAACCCCAGCACTCAGCATCTATGCCGCTGTGCTGTGATGCACTGCAGCCTCCTTCCTTGAGTATTGTCTGTTTCCCCATTCTCAGATGTCTGCTCCAAGAGGCCAGGGAAGTTTGCCAGTAGCCCCATTCATTGTTGTAGCACCAGGGTCTAGGAGAGGACTGGGCATGTAATGGGCGCTCAATAAAAATGACTGGGATGAAGGAGCTCGGACCTGTGTAGCCAAGCACTGCCCAAGCTAACATGTGCATTAACTTATTTAATCTTCCCCATCAAGCTGTGGAGTAGGTTGTCACCAGCCCTATTTCACAAGTGAGGAACAGGTCTTAGATCAAGCAGTTGTCCCAGGGCTGCCCAGCTGGCAGTGGAGGAGCTGGGACTCAGGTGGGGCCCAGATACAGCTCTGAGGAAGTAGATTTATGAGACCCATTTTCCAGAGGAGAAAATGGGCCAAGGAAAGGAAGGAGTCGCCTGAGGTTGGTCTGTAAGTGGCTGCCTCTGGATTCAAACCCAGATCCCGCCTCCCAGTGGGGCCTTAAGCTCATCAGACCCTGTTTACCTGGGCAGAGAATCCCCCACCCACCTCCGCGCTGGAGCTCAGGGGCCGGAAGCTGGAGGGGAGGGTGCAGGGAGTGGGCCCCCATGAATAATTGAGGGTCTCAGACGGGTCTCCGCCCCGCAGCTGTTGCCCTCCATCTGGCGGGGAGCGGGTGGTGGTGACGTCACTTCCTCCCGTGGGGGCCACTGGGGGCGCGGGTTATAAGGAGCTGCCTCCCCGGCCGCACGGTGCCGAGGACCCTGGTCTGGACGCCCCACCATGCAGCGTCGCGAGCCCACCGTGCCGCTCTTGCTGCTGCTGCTGCTGCCTCCTCTGCTGGCGCTGCTGCTCGGGGCGGGTGAGCGCCTGAGACCAGGGCGACCCCCCC